GAGGCCTGGCGTGCTGCAGTCTATGGGGTCACAAAGAGTAGGACATGACTTAGCGACTGAACTGAATGGATGACTACAGTGGCTCCCTGCTACCTCAGCCTAACTAAAAGGAAGTTAAGGAAGTTTAATCAAAACTCAAACAGGTGACTCGCGCATTTTAGGATGACAGGAACCAGAAGAGCGCCTAAAAGTGCCTGAAATTCTAACAATTCTTCAAGTGTCCAGAAGGGTTTTCTGAGATTACGTCTCTGAGCATGAGCGGAAGTCACCCTTTGAGCAATCTGCAGTTAAATGATAGGTGCCATATTCAGGACAGAGTCATCCGTTTCCATTCTTTTCTTCTCGTTGCACCCACAAGCAGGTGATCCGGTGACAAATCTGTCTTCGTTACTAGAAAATAAAGATCGCATTCAGCGAAGTTTTAAGGCAGCCAACTCCCCATCTTCCCATAGTAAAGATGGAGGCGCCCTGAATGTAAACTACAGGTAATACCACTTCCGTATTTCTTTTGTGCCCTGGTCTAAGATGGCGGACGAGGCCACCCGGCGTGTCGTGTCTGAGATCCCGGTGCTGAAGACCAACGCCGGACCTCGAGATCGGGAGTTGTGGGTGCAGAGACTCAAGGAGGAATATCAGTCTCTTATACGGGTCAGTTCTGCTTTTACTGTCAACCGCGTGGTAAAAGGGTGGCGGGTAATCAGGTGTCCATCGGAATAGGCTCCGTGTGGAATCCACTTCCGGTTTCAAAGTTTAACTTACAAATTCAAAGATACTGGATCACTTCGGGGCTGGGGGACTTAAGGAGCCTCGGTGGGGAGGAGGCAGAAGAGACTTAAGTTAGGAACCACGGTGGGGCCAGATTTTCTTCCTGAAAGCAGCAGTTATGTTAGGGATACGCGGCCCAGGAAAATGACGTGTCCTTCTGGCCCCAGGTGATTACTCTCCTGGATGCAGGGGACGTGATGGTCTTAAGGATTTCTTAGAGCCCTAAGTCCGGGCTTGAGTCCCTCCGCTCTTTCACTTGTCCTAAGGTAGGAATACATGTTAGAGCGAAAAATTAAAGTAGGTATTAGTTGCAGAGTGATGAGGAGCTGAGCTCAGTTAGGAACGAACCGTTTTCTCTGCTAATCTCCCTTCTGTGGAAAGAGAATTTGACTTCCTTGCGGTGGTGTCTGTCTGTTTCAAAGGTTTCCTGATGCATGTATTCACTAAAAAATAAATTTAAAATATAATGTACATCTAGTACCTAGGAAGGGCATCCAAAGCCGAATAAAGTGTAGCCTACTGATAGACAGAAACATATTATTATAATACATGAGTTGGAGAAAGAGGGAGAAGGAATCTGAGAAATTGCTAGGATGTTTTGAAGCAGGAGGTGAGATACCTAAATCTAGCTTGGGTCTGGTCAGGGAAGGCTTCCTAGAAGAGGCAATGCTTGAGCTGAGACTGAAAGGGTAAACATAAGTTAGCCTTATAAAAAACGAGCCTAAGAGAGGAACATTCAAGGCAAAAGGAACAGCATGAGCAAAGTTATGGAAGCTAGAAACACATGACATATGAGACAAAACACAAGTAGTTCAGAGTTGTTAGAGCATCAAGGTGTAGCAGGGAGTGGTAGATAAGACTTAATACATAGATATGAGCACTTGAACTCTATCTTGGAGGCATTGGGATTCCTTTAAAGGATGTTAAGCAGAGTAGCTGATGAGATTTGGGTTTAGATCAATCACTGGCAGGAAAGAGGAAGACAGAATTGGCAGGGCTAAGGCTGAAGCTTGGAGGCTGGCATTAGTCCAGGCAAAAGAAAAGTGATTATATAAACTCAGCAGTTATGGTAAGAGAGAGAAGAGGGTAGACTTGAAGGATATTCAGAAGGTAAATCAGCAGGATATCAGAAAAGATTGGTTTGTAAAGGAGGAGGCGGCTTAAGGATGATTTCCAGGTTTTTAGCTTGGGTGACTGAACACTAATACTGCCAATGGAGATTGGTGCAGTGGAGAAACAAGTCTGAAGGACTAGGGGGAAACTCACACTGCCAAGTTTGAACTGCACCTGTGGAATGAAGGTAGAAATTTCAGTATACATTTGGATATAGACTTTGAAGCTCTGAGAAAAGCTCTAGTTTAAAGATAAAGATTTAGAAGTCATCAGCATATGAGTGCTAGTCAAAATTAGGACAAAATGAAGTCTTGGGAAGGAATGTGCCGTAAAATGAGTTATGGCTGACATTGTCAGAAGTGAGAAGAAAAGCCAGGCAACATCATAAAGTGTTTTGTGCCTGCTAAATTGAGTAGAACCCAAGCATTCTATTCTCTGTTCTGTGCAAGTACCCTACTTACCAATATGGCTTTGACTTCAACTTATGTCAGAAAAGTTGGGAAAAGTTACTTACTAAGAGAGTAAGTAATCACACTTCTTTTGAGGGAAGGCGTACTGCCCTTGGCCCCAATTCCCCCCTCAAAGACCTCATTCTCTGCTTCTAGTATGTGGAGAACAACAAGAATGCGGACAATGACTGGTTCCGACTGGAGTCCAACAAAGAAGGGACTCGGTAGGCAGACCCGCTCGGGAGGTGTGGCGGTGGGGATCTTACGTAGCTTAAGCATTTTGGTGTCCCACAACCCACTCTCAGGCCTTTCCTGCCCCCTTCTAGTCTTCACTCCCACAACTCCAGAGTTCCCAATTCCCAACCTATGAGTCTCCCAGGCTGGTTACCTAAGCCAAAAAGATGTCATATGAGTATTAGGAGAATGGGAAAATTGGACTGAGGTTTGGTTTCTGTTATAGGTGGTTTGGAAAATGCTGGTACATCCATGACCTCCTCAAATATGAGTTTGACATCGAGTTTGATGTGAGTATGATGGAGTGGTAGTTAATGGAGGTTAGGAGAGGACGAGGGATTAGGTGATTGTTAACAAGCTAACCTTTCTTGGAGGGACCAAAGAAAACTTTTTAAATGGGAGGGAAAATCTTAATAAGGTTTGAAACAAGCATAAGTTTTAATTACTCATCTCCATGTCCAGAACCCTGCTGTGTACCTGCTGCTTGGGAGAGTTTGCAGAACCTTTCATTTCAACCAAGAAATGTGTATGTCTGATTAGATTACTTCCTTTCTATTCTGATTCTGTCATATTAAAGCCTTGTAATTCTTCCAGATTCCTATCACATATCCCACTACTGCTCCAGAAATTGCAGTACCTGAACTAGATGGAAAAACAGCAAAGATGTACAGGTAGGACTGAACAGGAGATGGGATAAGGTCAAAGAAGGCCTTGGTGAAGAACTCTCCAAGACAGAAATTTTCCCAGAATCTGCAGACCTAGAGAAATTCCACATCTCCCTCTGCCAAGCCTGGGCAAAGCACTTAGATGACCTTGTTCTCAGTTCTGATCCCCAGTTGTCTTCCTGTGCTCTCAAGAATCTGCTTTGCTTTATGGTGTACCTTGCATGTCGACATCTTGTTCCTCTCATAGGGGTGGCAAAATATGCCTGACCGATCACTTTAAGCCTTTGTGGGCCAGGAATGTGCCTAAGTTTGGACTAGCTCATCTCATGGCTCTGGGGGTAAGTTTGGAGTATTTGGTATATAAGAGGGGAAGGGGGTTGGTCCTGAGCAATATAAGAAAAGTGAGAGTAAACATGGAATAACAGTGTTTTCCTTTGGGTATGTTCTCCTAGACTATCTCTAGGAAGGAGCTTCTGGTGGAATACAAGGCATTGACTGGCTGGTAGTAATCTCACAGGGTCTCGCTTGTATTGCAGCTGGGACCATGGCTGGCAGTGGAAATCCCCGATCTGATTCAGAAGGGAGTGATTCAGCATAAAGAGAAATGCAGCCAATGAAGGATCAAGCCACTGAGGCAGGACAGAGGGACCTTTGATAGGCCACGGTTCCTGTTTTCCTGTGCATCATTCTTCTTACTCATCTAACTGCTTCCCCCGACACTCTTTCACCCATAATTGTTACTAAGTAGCTGCAATAGACACAGATGAAAAACACAGCATTGGGCTACACAGGAAGAGGAAAGACTAGGGCCTTGAAAAACCTAGAGGCAATTTATAGCCCTTCCCTAGGTGGAGCACTACGAGGTCTGGAGGGATAGGGGGTGACCAAAAGTGGGTACATAGTCTTTCTGATTTCTGGAGATAACTCATCAATAAAAGCTGCTTTCTCTGGTGGCTTGCGGTTCTTATTGGTGGCTGTAATAGTGGGTGAGTGGCCTAAGGGTCAGCAGGCTACCACCCAAGGCACGTGTACGACCATCCTAGTTCAGGAGGGAGGGGGAACTGGAGGAAGCTCCGTCTGGACCAGAATGAAAGGACATCCTGACTGCTGTCCCTGCTGCTGAAATCTGCACATGTGCTTTAGCAGGGAGACTCCTGCTTCGGCCTGCAAGATGACTGAGTACTGGTTTTGCAAGGCCAGTATTCCCTGCCCTCCAGGGAGCTTCCCATCCCTATGTGGATAATTCTCTGGTCTGTGGGCTGGACCCAGACCCTGCATTCGCATCCTTGCTCCCTGGGAAGGTCTGTGCTGCAAGCCGGGGAACCATACAACGATTGTCAGGTTTCTATCCTTTAAGTCCACGAGATGGGGCGATGGGACTCTGTACTTTAGGGACTTGCTTTGGAGTGGTGGTTTAAAGAAAATTTTTGGCAGAGCTGGGAACTGGCGGTCCTAAAGTTGGCTGTGTTTCCATGGTGTCAGCGGCGGAGCCAAAGGGGCGGGTTCACGCAAGCGCCGAGGATGCAGGTGGGTGGATTCTGAGTGTGGGTGCGCAGGCGCTCTGAGAGACAGTGAAGCCGGTGGCCGGTGGCCGGGCGGGACCAACAAAGATGGCGGCGGCCCCTGCGGCGGGAGAGAGCTGGGCAATAGCTGCGGCTAAAGCTGCAGCCGGGCCCGCGGGGGCGCTGCGCGAGGGTAGTAGGGGGTGGCCCTGAGCTGAGGCCTGACCCCGGTTGGCCTCCCCCGCCGCCTCACTCGGGGACAGGTACGGTCCGGGGCGTATGGCGTGGGGGGTTCCGAGGGAAGACTGCTCCAGACTCGAGAGATCGCTCTCCACAAAGGCAAAGCCGCTGGGGACCTGGCAGGCCTGAGAGAACTGGGCTGGAGGGACCAGCATCCTTGGATCGTGGAGAATATGCCTCTGGACCCCGCAGCCAATCAGCAGCCTCGGCCTTTCTGCCCTCGAGGGGGGCGGACCCGGTTGAAACCTGCTGTGGTGGGCGAGGTGCAGTGCTTGAGGGTCAGGGAATTAGTTGTTCGTCCTCCCTGCTCGCCACTGCCCCTAAGCCCCGACATCACTTTGGAGCTCAGAGGCGGGGGGAGGGAGTGATTCGCAAGTCACCCTTTTAATCTGCTTCATTTGCAGCCCGGAGGGGCAGAGGTTTGAGATGGAATGCTGTCTTTGGGGCTGTTTTATACTTGCACCCACACCCCTATTTGACCAGAGGTTCTAAATGACCCAGAGCACATCCCACTTGACTCGCCAAGTATGGGGGACCTCCACGAACATTTAGATTATAAAGACAGACGAGATAGGAACTGTCTTTTCATTGGCTCTCCAGTAAAGCTGTATTCTGCAGGAAGAGGGTAAGGAATGTCGAATCAAAGCTCTGGACTGCTATCGTTCATTCGTTCATTTACTCAGTGGTCACTGAGGGTTTACTTCGTGCCAAACACTATGCTAGCTACTGGGGATACAATGACTGATATGATAGATGTGCGTCCTGCCCTCCATGCGTATAGCCAGCTATTGTAGCCTAGGTTCCCACCTCCCTCCATGTTCAGATGTTGACCCTGTCTTCTTCTCCCAGGTCCAGCCTGTGGTGTCCACAATGCCCCAGGCTTCTGAGCACCGCCTGGGACGGACCCGAGAGCCACCTCTTAATATCCAGCCCCGAGTGGGATCCAAGCTACCATTTGCTCCCCGGGCCCGGAGCAAGGAGCGCCGAAATCCAGCCCCTGGGCCAAATCCCTTGTTACGACCTCTGCCTCCTAGGCCAGGTCCCCCTGAGGAACGGCTCAAGAAACTGGAGCTGGGACGGGGACGGACCTCAGGCCCTCGTCCCAGCGGCCCACTTCGGGCAGATCATGGAGTTCCCCTGCCTGGCTCACCACCCCCAACTGTGGCTCTGCCTCTCCCATCCAGGACCAACCTAACCCGTTCCAAATCTGTGAGCAGTGGGGACTTGCGTCCAATGGGGATTGCCTTGGGAGGGCACCGTGGCACTGGAGAGCTAGGGGCTGCACTGAGTCGCTTGGCTCTTCGGCCTGAGCCACCCCCTCTGAGACGCAGCACCTCTCTCCGCCGCCTCGGGGGCTTTCCTGGGCCACCCACTTTGTTCAGCATACGGACAGAGCCCCCTACTCCCCATGGCTCCTTCCACGTGATATCTGCCCGGCCCTCTGAACCTTTCTACTCCGATGACAAGATGGTGAGGATTCGCCAGCACACGTGGCCTTCCATGCCCATGTTCCTCCGTGCCTCCAGCTTTCTTGCCATCATATGCCTTTCCTTTCTCCTTTTCCCCCAGATTCCTTTTCACCCCTTCATTTCAGTAGTGTGGACTCTCTTCTCCCTTACTTAAGTACCCTCAAGCCTCATAGATCCTTTTTGGGCTTGTCTGTGTCTCCCCAGCATGGTTTGCCATTTCATTCTCCGAGGAATTAACTCAACCATTTGGAATTCTTTGGGTCCCCAGGCCCTTAATTTCCCTTGCTGGGCCTTCTCTCCTAGGATGCTTGTCTAGGTTTAATTAATCTCTGGAGCCAAGGAGGGGCGGGCTCAGAACATCTGAGCTAATGTGGTTGCCCATTTCCCAAGCTAAGTGAGCTAGGCTGGTTGCAGTTGGAGCCATCAGGAGAGGGTGTAGAAAGGGGCCACGGGTGCAGGAGGGGGCCTTGCGGGTAGCAAGGTGGGGGTGGGGAGCAGCTGGGCAACCATGCCAGTGCTTGGGGAGTTGCCCCAGGAGTTGCATCGCCGGCTAGCTGGGCAGAGGAGTAAGTGGGGAACAGATGGGACAGCCATGGCTGAGACCGTGGTACACTCAGCTGTGATGGGCTTACTGCTCCTGGCCAGCGAGGTAGGGAGACCCTGATACTCACTGAGAGAAAAAGTGTAGAGTTTGAGGGTGAAGGATGGGATGGGGAAGGCAGTGGGCAGCACGCTGTGGAAAGGTGGAAGTGCCAGGTAGGGTGTACAGGAACCTGTTGACTGTGCTGTACTGACCTTCCAGGCTCATCACACACTGCTTCTGGGCTCTGGTCACATTGGCCTCCGCAATCTGGGGAACACGGTGAGAGCCATTCTTCCATCCTTCCTAACAGGAATGTGGGCTGGTGTTGAGGACAGGCATGGGCAGGGAAACTTGGAGAAGGACAGCACTGAAGTTCTCCTAAGGCATCTTGTGTCTCTCCTGCTCCCCAGTGCTTCCTGAACGCTGTGCTACAGTGTTTGAGCAGCACCCGGCCTCTTCGGGACTTCTGTCTGCGAAGGGACTTCCGTCAAGAGGTGCCTGGAGGGGGCCGCGCCCAGGAGCTCACTGAAGGTAAGGCAACAACGCCTGCTCCCCTCTTTCAAGTCCTCTTTTCCCCAACCCCGTGTAGGTTCATCTGCCAGTGGCGGTGACCCCGAGCCTGAAAGCTGGCAGTTGTATCTGTTTTTCCTTGTGTCTCATTTCCTAGAGGTTGTTTTCTGCCCTCTGGGCCTCCCCTTGCTTCCCTCTTGTAGTCATTAACTTTTGTTTCCCTTCCCCACTCCTATCCTAATAGCCTTTGCAGATGTGATTGGTGCCCTGTGGCACCCTGATTCCTGTGAAGCTGTGAATCCTACCCGATTCCGAGCTGTCTTCCAGAAATACGTTCCCTCCTTCTCTGGATACAGGTGGGAGAGCTGAAGGGTATGGGATTTCTCTCTGGCCTTGTCTGGGGGTAGGGAGCTCTGGCAGCCTCATCTGAGCCTTGAGATGCTCTTCATCCAGGAAGTGGGGACAGATGTCTGGGCAGAGATTAGTGACTGTGGACTAGGGAGGAGTCAGTTGCCCATGCTCTTTGTCTGGCTGCAGCCAGCAGGATGCGCAAGAGTTTCTGAAGCTCCTCATGGAGCGGCTACACCTCGAAATCAACCGCCGAGGCCGCCGGGCTCCACCAATCCTGGCCAGTAGTCCTGTTCCCCCCCCACCCCGCCTCGGAGGGGCTCTGCTAGAAGAACCTGAGTTAAGGTAAGGTTGCATCCCCTCCCTCTTCTCCCCAGTAGTTTATCAGCAGCATTCATCCTTCATAGAAGTGAGTCAGTCAAGATTGAGGCTGTAGGGTCCAAGGAAATACATAGTTCAGAAAATGGTTTGTGAAACAGCGCAGAAGTAGAAAGAAGGAACGAGGAGGCTGAGGGGCGCAGATGGAAGCAGAAGATAGTGCTGTGGCTGTCACCATATTGACGGAGGAGGGGATAATTAATTTATAAGGTACAAAAGGGGTTTGGAGCCAGGTGGAGGAAGACGGCATGTTCTTCCCTTGTCTACATTCCTTTGTTTTCCTCTTACCAGAAAGTCCTCTGAAGGAGGACTCCTCTGACTCTTTCTTGAAATAGAGAGGAGGAGCTGGGGCACGGAGGGGGTGGGGTACAGGCTTTGTGGATCATTTCAGTGGTGGTGGGGGTGCCCAGCATTCCTGCTGTCTCATGGATGCTTCCCACTTTCCTTGATCTGTGGTAGCGATGNGGGCTCTGCTAGAAGAACTTGAGTTAAGCGATGACGATCGAGCCAACCTAATGTGGAAGCGTTACCTGGAAAGAGAGGACAGCAAGATTGTGGACCTGTTTGTGGGCCAGTTGAAAAGTTGTCTCAAGTGCCAGGCCCGTGGTTATCGCTCCACGACCTTCGAGGTTTTTTGTGACCTGTCCCTGCCCATCCCCAAGAAAGGATTTGCTGGGGGCAAGGTGTCTCTGTGAGATTGTTTCAACCTTTTCACCAAGGAAGAAGAGCTAGAATCGGAGAATGCCCTCGTGCGTCACCGATGTCGGCAGAAAACACGAAGTACCAAAAAGTTGACAGTACAAAGATTCCCCCGAATTCTCGTGCTCCATCTTAATCGATTTTCCGCCTCCCGAGGCTCCATCAAGAAGAGTTCAGTAGGTGTAGACTTCCCACTGCAGCGACCGAGCCTAGGGGACTTCGCCGGCGACAAAGCCGGAAGCCCCATATACCAGCTCTATGCCCTTTGCAACCACTCGGGCGGCGTCCACTGCGGCCACTACACAGCCCTGTGCCGGTGCCAGACTGGCTGGCATGTCTAAATGACTCTCCGTCTCCCCGTCAGTGAAGACCAGGTGGCATCCAGTGAGGGCTACGTGCTCTTCTACCAACTGATGCGGGAGCCGCCCCGGTGCCTGTGAAACCCTTTCAACACCCTGAAGCCCCCCGGCTCCCCATTTACCTCAGAGACGTCCATTTTTGTGTCTTTTTAATCGGGGAGGGGGGAGGGGGTGGTTGTACCTCCGTTATTTTTTTTATTAAAAAATACCCTTTCACCTGGAGGCTCTCTTGTCTCCCAGTCCCATGTACAGAGCTCCACAGGCCCCCGCCCGTGTACAGCCCCCAGACCCTCTACAGTCTCATTTTTTGTGTGAATAAATTTATTAAAAAAACAAAAACAAAAACCCTATACTCTGTCTTGCTTTTGATGGATAAACAAAAATGACCATTTAAATAAATGGCTCTGGATGGTTACAGCTTATGAAAGAAATCAAGATATTTCTTGCTTAGTATCATCCTTTGGAAGAGTAATTGTGGGGAAAACATTTGTTAGTTAATAGCTCGAAATACTTTCTTATCCTGGAATAAATTAATGATTTTCAAACCATACCATATCAACCTACCAAGATAAACAGGTAACATTCTTGTTTTTCACCTGCCTAATTTTACAACTGCCCAAGAGGCAATAGCTAAACCACAAAAAATTTGTGCTGAAAATCTTATATCCTGAAGAATTAAACACACAAATACACAGAGAAAGTGAATCATCAAATTTTAAAATGAAATAAAACCTTTTTACAAATGTAGAGAAATTATTGTTCGTTTCAAAGAATGTACAAAGTAAAAATTGAATTCTCTAAAGAATTCTCTTACTAGTCGAGCACAAGGCTAATTGAGTGATTTTCATTCCAGTGCTTGTTTAGATAATTTGGAATCATTAAAAAGCAAAGTGTTCTGGTTTTGAGGTTTATGACTCCTGGCCTTTTTTCTTTTCCATAAAGGCCAGTAATTGCGTTTTAGCTATTATGCTGTTATGGGTAGATCATCCATCTTCGTCTCTGCCTGCTGCTTCAGCACAGATACAGGATTCCAGGACCACATTTAGAAAGTGATACAATCGATTCTGGGTTATGAGTTTTATCTAATAACCCCTTCTAGACTCTGAAATCAGCATGTACATTTTAAGAAATTGTGAACGCATTTCCCATAGGAGAGAAGCTAATTTATTACAACTTAATGGAGAGTGCAATGGGATGGTTAAACTTTGGCTCTTATTTTCTGAGCAGGGTAGGATAAGCTTCTTTGTGTTAGTGATCACTCTTGCCCCACCCTGACCCCTGCTTTCTTGGGGTCTCTTCAGTGACAAGCTTAATGGGAACTAGACTCAGTAGACATTTTGAACATTTTCCGGTTTCTTGTTTTAGCAATTTTGATTTGGCCCTTGCAGTTCACTGAATTATGTGCTAGCATATTTTTGCATGCATGGAAATTATTGTATTGCATTGTCATCTGGTCACCTATTCATTGTTCAAACTTGAAGCTGGCTTTGAATAACCAAAAAAGCAGAAAGAACTAATTCCCATTTCGGTGAGCATGGTTGAGCCTTTCTCCTTTTATTAATTTCCTAAAGCTGCTGTAATAAATGACCACAAAGTTGGTGGCTTAAAACAGCAGAAATTTACTATCTCATACTTCTGGAGGTCAGAAGTTGGAACTCCTTTTCACTGGGCTGAAATCAAGGCGCTGGCAGGGCTATGCTGTCTCTGGAGGCGCTAGGGGAGAACTTCTTCCTCACCTGTCTTGCTGCTTCTGGTGGCTGCCAGCCTTTCCTGGCATGTGGCTGCATCACTCTAATTTCTGTCTTCGTGGTCACATTGCCTTCTCCTCTTCTGTCTGTATCTTATAGCCCTCT